AGGCAATACACTGATATACATAAAATGAAAACAATAAATAAAAAAATCATTAAAATAAAATCCAGACACTATGTTCAAAAAGATCCCTCAGAGTAACCACCAAACGTCAAGTTCAGTGGTCCAACTGCACCACAGAAAGTCCTTGTTCTCCTACCTCAACTTAAACCACACCTGAGCCAGAAGAGGGCATGTGACCTAAGACAATTCACAGGCTGATCAGAGACCTGAACTGTGCTCAGAAGTTCTATTTCTGAAGTTAAAATGATGCACTGAAGAATCCTTGAGGCAGAATTTGTGCCACCTGCAGTCAAATTTTAAAGAAAAAGTAGAACTGCTGAACATGGTGGCACACACTTTAAAACTTGGCACTCAGGAGGACGATACAGATGGAGCTCTGTGAATTTGGGGCCAATCTGGTCTACACAGCTGGCCAAGTTCTAGGCCAGCTAGGGCTACAGGGAGATCCTGTCTCGAAAATTTTAAAAACCAAACCAAACCAAGCATAAAGACTAAAATTTAAAAAATGACACACACAACACTCCTTTAAGGAAAAGAGGGAGACAGGAGAACGAGAGAAGCTGAGACATGGAAGCAAGAGGAGAGAGGGCGAAAGAGGAAAAGTATAGAGATACTATGCTTTGATGATGGAGGAGTAATGAATTAACAGCCAAAGAATGCAGGTGGCCTCTAGAAGGTGGGGAAGACTAGAAAGGTGATTCTCCTTCCAGCCTCCAGAAGGAACACAGTTCTGAATAAACCTTGATTTTATAACTTGACCTCCAGAACCATTAAAATAAATATTTGCTAGCCACTAGGTTTGTGGTAATGTGCAACTATAGTGGTAGGGCCCTAAAATACATTTGATTTCATTGCTCAATCTTAGTGCCACCAAGGGACACAGAAAGCACCACTTTCTCTGACATGTCATGAAGTATAAGCATGATCCATGAGGTAAGTAGACTTATTTTTAGTGCCGGTGTTCAAACCCAGTGTCTTGCACATGAGGCAAGTCCTCTACAGTAAGCTACATCCTCAGGCCCCACACAGCACCAGTCATGAAATACTCGCTCCTAGAAGATAAAGCTGAATCTGATTACATCTTTATTTTACAAGAAATATGGGAGCATGAACTGATTAAACAACACATGTAGAAAGAAAACAAGAGCTGGGTCTGGTGGGAGAGGACTATAATCCAGGCTACTCTGGAGGCTGAGGCAGAAGATAGACTTTCAAAGCCTGTCTGGGTTACAGAATGAGTTCAAGGTCAGCCTGAGTAACTTAATGAGGACCTGTCTCAAAATGAAAAATAAAATGAGGGCTGGAGAATATACAGCTTAGTTGTACAGCACTTGCCTGGCATATATGAGACTCAGGATTCATTAAAAAACAACAAAAAACCCCAAGAAAATCCAAAACGTATGACAATTGACTCACAAAAGGAGCACACACAAAAAAGGATGAAGCAGACTGCAGTCCACTGCTAATTAGAGAGGATTAATTTTATTATTTTTTTAAAGATTTGTTTTATTTTTAATCATGGGTGTGAGTGCAGATGCCCAGAAGCAGGCTGGGATCCCTTGGAGTTACAGGTGGCTGTGATACCTGACATCGGTGCTGGGAACTAAACTTGGGTCCTTGAAAATTAATTTTAAATATGTACTTTTCAAAACAAGCAGGGAATTTAAAAATTCATTACATTTAGTGTGTGTGTGTGTGTGTGTGCATGTGCACGCGCGCAAAGGTCAGAGGACTTTCGGGAGTTGGCCCTCTCCTCCTACCATATAGGTTCCAGGGATCAAACTCAGGTTGTTGGGCTTGGCACAAGTATCTTTATCTGCTGAACCACCTCCCTGGTATAAAAAAAAGTAGGGACATCTTATTCTGTGCTGGGTATGAGTATTTATTATACAGTATTAAGAATTATTGGGAGATTTTATTTCTTTTTGAGAAAACAATCTGGATATGTTGTTACCCACATGAATTTCAAACTCATGGGATCAAGTGATCCTCAGTCTCATTTTTGCTGCTGTTGTTTTTAAAGAGAGGTCTCACTTTGTTCCCCAGCCTGGCTGTGAAGTCCTAGACTCAATTCTCCTGCCTCAGTATCCTGAGTAGCTGGAACTATAGATGCATACAACTGTACCTAGTTCACTGCTAATTTTGAAAGGACTCATTCAGCCACATAACATTGTGGTCACGTTTCTTTTTAAGATATTTTATTTATATAAGAAATATTTTATTATTTTTACTTCTTCATGTGTATAAGTGTTTTGCCTGCATGTATGTAAGTGCACCGTGTGTGTACAATGGCCTGCAGAGACCAGAAGAGGCCTGGAACTCTGTGGTTGCTGGGACTGGAACCCAGGTCCTCTGGAAGAACAGCCAAGTATTCTTAACTGCTAAGCCATCTTCAGCCCCCATGTTCCTTTTTATTCTTTTAAAAGAGATTCATGCTGAAGTGTCCTGAACTGGAATATCATGGCCTCGGGGATTTACTGGAGTCCAAACAATTTAACATGAAGTAATAATGGGAAGGCATGGCAAGTATGGCAGAATCTAGGCAGCAGATATAAATGGATATATTCTCTACAACACTGAAAACAAAACACGGCCAAAAGCACTTAGGTGGTGATAAAAAATCAGGACTTTCACATCAAAATTTGCAGTTTTTATCTCATTAGAAAAGTCAGATGGGACAAAGGGCCTATGTGTTTGCAAGGCAAGTCTCAAGAGTTGAGTTCGGCTGGGCATGCTGGCACACAGCTGTAATCCTTGCACATTCCAGGCTGAGGCAGGGTTCCAGGTCAGTCTGAGAACCAGTGTATTGGCTACTCTATCATGTTCTCCATCACTGCCAGCTATGCTCCATTTATCATCATTACTTCTTGTTTTTCTTTTTTAAAATATCTGCCTCAAGTCATTTTTTTGTTGTTGATTTTTTTTTTTTTTTTTTTTTTTTTTTAAAAAAAAAAAAAAAAAAAAAAAAAAAAAGAGGACGATAAATCTTTCACTGTGATATACTATGTAGACCAGGCTGGCCTTGAACTCACAGAGATCCACCTGCCTCTGCCTCCCAAGTGCTGGGATTAAAGGCATGCGCCACCACGCCTGGCTCAAGTCATTCTTATATGTTATCTACTTGGCATCTAGGTTTACAACCCCGGGTGTCGGATTAAGCTGGTTAGTAGCAAGGGTACAGCAGATAAAGGGAGAGTGAGGGAAGGTAAAATGCTACTGTGCAGAAGCACAAACTCCTGCTGCTGATGTCCCTTCAACAGCCTCAGCACCATCTTCAGATATTAATTACTATAAGGTTACACAATGGTCCCTGATTTCACTGAAGACTAGGTTACTAGAAGCAGGGTAATACATTTAGCACAAAATATGAGCATGAAAATAATTCCTGCCCTTAGGACAGTGATAATCTAACAAGGAAGACAAAACATAAGCAGTAGTTACAAGGCAGAAAGTAAATGCATATTTTTCAGTAAGGCCCTATATAGAACACTAATTGGAAAGCTACAAGTGTAGCTTCAAAACAGACCATGAGGAACACTACAGAGCAGGTTGGCAGATGTAAATTATCAGCCACAGTGGGTCACTGAAGGGGTTTTAAATATAGGAATTAAGGAGAGACAGCAACAGTGGAGAGCAAGTTCTCTTTCACTGCTCAAATTCTTTGATTCTATGAACTACTTTCTTCTATTTTGAAAAGCCAGAAGCATTACCAACCCAAAACATTCCACCTATGCCTCTAAAATTTTCTAGTCACCACTTTCTTGGGTAGACAGTTCAATCAATACCTAAAAAGAATAAAAGAATGGATCACAAAACAGCCCTGAAAATCACTTTTCTCTCTCAGATAAAGCATATCTGAATCACCGTTAAAAGTAAAATTGTAGCCAGGTGTGGTGGCCCATGCCCTTAATCCCAGCACTCTGGAGGCGGAGGCAGAGGCAGGCGATCTCTGTGAGATGGAGGCCAGCCTGGTCTACATAGTTCCAGGCCAGGGGCTACAGGGAGGTGTTGTCTCAAAAAGACCAAAATAAAAAAAATTAAAAAAAAAAAAAAAAGGAAAAGTGTTTCTTTTGGTTAGTTTAAGAATTTAATGTTTCAATCAGTTAAAAAGAAACAATTTACCACCCCATTTACTGCGAATAAATAAAATTATGCAGAACAAAATCAACTCTTGACTGATATAGAATTATATTCACAATTCAAAAATCTAGTCAAGCAATTTTCACTTTAAAAATGGGGCCAATGCATTACGGGGAGTAGCTGTCACCATCCAAGAGTCCAGCTGAGATTTAGTTAAGTCCAGACCCTAAGGACTAATAGCATTTTGTGGACTTTACTGTCCCAAGATTTACAAATTAAAAGCAAAAGGAGGTTAAGATTGTGGAACTTTTCTGTCAACAAAGCTAACCAATGTCATCTTTAACACTTGTTTATGGTACCTGGGCTTCGGCTTCCTCATTTATAACATGGGGCTAACAGTACCTACTTCACAGGTTGGTGTACAAACTAAATGTACAACTTTATACAACTTTCTGGAGCACAGGAAGTGACACAGCAGATGCTTAGTAAATAACGAATTTTATGAGTCACAGCTTTATTGTGTCTTATTATCTTGTAGGTGTTGCGGCGTCTTATGTCAATCCCCACAAATCCCCTCAAGATTTCTCAAGAAAACCGAGTTATTGCTCAAGGTCCCCCAAGCCCTTCCAGCTGCAGGAAGCAGACAACCGCCCGAAGTCGAGGTAGCCATAGCTCTCCAGCCACCACCTGGGTTAAGGCCTTTCCACCGCTTCCCGAATCGCCTTGCAGCCCCGCCCCGCGAACCCCAACGTGAGGGGTGAGGGGGCGGTCTCCACCGCGCATCCTCGGCGCCGGGGACGGCTAGGCCAACCCCAGCGTGGCCCAAGGCATCCCCCGACCCAGGCCTCCTCCGGACGACGCCTGCCACCGTCCCGCCCACCCCCGCGCGCTCAGGGCCGCACCTTGAGGTGGGTGCGCAAGCCGCCCGCGCCCCCAGACTGGTCGGTGATCTCGTAGGCGCCCGTCACTAGCAAGTCCTTGTGGATCTCCTCGCGGAGACACTTGCGGGAGTTAACGGGCAGGTGGAAGGAGATGGCGAGGACCGAGCTGGGGCCAAGCAGGAACAGAAAGAGCAAGGCCCACGAGCGAGGGCCAGGGCAGGTTAGGGGGCCAGACAAACCAGACATGGTGCTGGAGCCGCGTTCACCACCGGGGTCCTCTAGCGCGCCGGAACCGCGGGGACCCACGTGACTAGCGTCTGCCGTAGCGATGCCGTGGGCGCCATTTTGGAGATTGGCTATTGAGCTAAGACCATGTCACAGACCGTTTTCGAAGGGAAGAAAGGATACGGTACTACATCATAACTGCGACTTTAAGTGGTTAGAGAAGAGCTGTATGGGCTTTATCATATGTTTCATTTTTTTGTTGAGGTGAAAGACTCCTGAGTGGGCCATAACAAGTGTGGGCATCCCCCGGAAGTAATTCTCTTTTAGCTCCCGGAAGTGGTACTTTTGTGATTTACCGTCGATGACACCATAGCAACCAGGCCCCAATAGGGAACAGCCACAAGGTCTTTCGCTGAGCCCGCCCACCGGTCACTAGACTGGGCGGAGTCAGAGGTGAAGCTCAGAGCCCAGCGCTTGCTTTGGTGGCACTTGGGGCACCTAAGGAGAAAGTATCTTAGAAAATTGTAATTTGTCAATAGTGAGATGTGGAGGTCACCGGGTGAATACGAGTTGGCAGGCATTCGGTTAATGTCTCAAAGCCGGGTATTTGGCCTGGTTGAAGTTTGGTGTTGCAAATGTACTTATTTAATAAACATTGAGCGCCTTCTTTGGTAAGTTATACGCAAACCAAATTTTATCTTTATATTTAAATTGAACAAAACACCGTTTTTTTTTTTTTTTTGTCTAATCAGAGATGAGGATTAAAATACGGTTTACCAGATTAGTGTTGTCCAGGGAGGAAAGAATTAGCGTGTTTCAAATACACACTTTATAAATGAAGTAGGCTATTCTGTAGTAAGCAGATTCACAGCAACCAAGCATTCACTTTGTAAATATTGATTACCTGCTGTGTGCTATAGATGCATGTATAACGTGTTTATTGATGTACATCACAGTGTATTCAGGACTAAACAATCAAACGTAAGTGTTCATGGATAACCTAATTTTGTCAGTGTTAAAAATGTTTGGCATCTTTATGCTATAAAGTATTTAAAGCTGAAGAATATTTAAAGAACCGTGCTAGGTGCTACAGGCCTGTAATTCTAGAACTGGGGGGGGGGTGCACAAAGATCAAGGCCAGCCTGGGCTACAGGGAGACATTGTCTTAAACAGGGACTGGAGAGATGGCTCAGCAGTTAAGAGCACTGACTGCTCTTGTAGAGGACCCAGGTTCCATCCCCAGCACCCACATGGTGGATAACAGCCCTCTGTAACTCCAGTTCCAGGGGATCTGATGCCCTCTTTTGTGCTCTGTGGGTATTGCTCTACATGGGTGCACTTACACACATGTAGGCAATATACTCACACATGAAATAAAAGTAATAAATAAAATATTAAAAACCAGCCGGGTATGGTGGCACATGCCTTTAGTCCCAGCTCTCGGGAGGCAGTGGCAGGTGGATCTCTGTGAATTCAAGGCCAGCCTGGTCTACATAGTGAGTTCCAGGTCAGCTGGGGCTACAGGGAGACCCTGTCTTAAAAAGACCAAAAAGAAAAAAAAACAAAAAACAAAAACCAGACACCCATCCCTCTTGAAACCACAACACCAGGGAATACACAATAGCCTGTTTTTAACCACTATCCACTTTAATTAATGTTTATTGAGCATTAGCAAAACTATCTAGAACATAAACTGTCTGCCCTTAGTAATTTAAATGATCTCTCTTTTTTTCTTTTTTATAACTCCTTTAAGTCCACTTAGTTCTTTTCCTGGAACAGAAGTCCTGCAAACCAAATAAGAACAAACAGAATGGAGTTGTTAAGCCTCTTAAAATTTGATAAATGCCATATCAAATTTTCTGAGGTGTCCACTTAGGGACATTTAGTTTGATGGTTTTATCCCTGATCTTAGATAAGATTGCTAGTCTACAAACTATGTCCTGTTAATTTGTATAGGCCTTTTCTTTGCCAGTGCTGGGGTAGCAATACAAATAGTTATCAATTTCATTGTTCTCTCAAGTCATAAGGCTCTGGTGACCATTACAAAGCGACTTACAGACCATAAAATACCTCTGTATATGTTTTCATTACATTTTTATCTTAATGCATAATATATTATGCATGTTTAAAATGTTTAAATATCTTTTTTGTTTTTTTGTTTTGTTTTTTTGAGGCAGGGTCTATGTAGCCCTGGTTGGCCTAGAACTTGCAGTGACCCTCCTATCTCTGCCTCCCAAGTACTGGGATTAAAGGCATGTGCCACCAGACACAAGCTGTTTTCACTTAATGATCACATTTGACCTTTTTTAAAAAAATATTTTATTATTTTATGTGTATGAGTGTATTGCCTGCATGTACGTGAGTGCACCTGTGTCGTACAGTGCCGAGGGGGTCAGAAGAGAGCTTCGGATTCCCCTGGAACTGGAGTTAAGGATGGTTCGTAGCCGCTATGTGGGTGCTGGGAATCAAACCTGTGTCCTCTGCAACAGCAGTCAATACTCTTAACTGCTGAGCCATCTCTCCAGCCTCTGCTTTATTTTACAGAATGTTTAAAAAGGTCAAATGAGGGGCTGGAGAGATGGCTCACTGACTGCGAGTTCCAGGCCAGCTGGGGCTAAAACAAAAAAATGAAAAAAGAAAAGAAAAAATCACTGACGATTGAAAATCCTGCTTGGCATGGTGGCATATGTCTTTATTCTCAGCACACAGGAGGCAGAGGCAGGCAGATCTCTTTGAGTTTGAGGCCTGGTGTACATACATAGCAAGTTCCAGGCCAGCCAGGGCTACATAGTGAGACCCTGTCTCAAAAAAACCCCAACAAACATATATCACAAAATCCCAGGGGCCAGGGAGATGACTCAGCAGGTCAAGGCACTTGCTGCCAAGCCTGACAACCTGAGTTTGATCCCTGGGAACCCCTGGTACCCACATAGTAGAAGGAGAAAATGAACTCCTACAAATTGTCCTCTGACCTCAACACTTCCCCATGCCCCCCAAATAAGTAAACGTAAAACAACAAAATCACAGAAGTGACAAAGGCCTGAGCCTTCCTCAGGAAGGTGGTATAATATTTGAGAAATGAAGAAAGTGAGGCTGAGGAGCTGAGTTACTTTCCTGTGTCAGCTCTCAAATCCTTTCTTGTCCCACAGTCTCACTTATTCCCAGCCTATAAACACTTCTTGTCCCCAGTTTCTATCACATACTTCCCTGCTTAGCTCTCATCATTAATATAGAATCTGTTTTACTTCTTTACTGTATCAGTCAGTCTGTCTCTCTAATTCAAATGCCTCTTCCGAGGGCAAGGATTTTGTCTAGTTTGTTCATTGTTTATATTCTTAACCTAAAACAGTACTTGGCACATAGGTACAATAAATGCTGGTTCTATGAATGCAAGATTGGTTTCTTGGCTCCTAGCAAAAGGCCCAACAGAGAATTCCTTCTTTTATTCTTTAGCTATTTTCCATGTGTATCTCCATGTGTAACCCAAGTTACCCTCCATCCCCATGCCTCAATCCCCATGCCTCAGTCTCCTGAGTGCCAGAATTACAGACATGTTCCACCACACCTGGCTATTTTTCTTTTTCATTAGTAAAATGTGTTCTCTTGATAGAAGAACACAGAATAACAGTAACAATAACAAAATATCTTCTTTATGCTGTGGAGTTGGATGGCAGGGGACAGACCTCTAAGAAACTAAAACTTAAAATCTGTATCTGCGTTGAAGAAGGTACCATCTTACATCTGCATGAAAAAGGCTTCATTTGGAACTGGTAATGAAGTAGAAAGTGTCTCACAACCACAGTACATGCTTCTTTCTGGCTAGCAGTTTTGTGTTGTGTTTGTCATTCTGAAACTTGTCTAGCCAGAGCCACCTTAGGTTCCTAAGCTACTGAAGCTGCTGGTGGTGGAGAAATATCCAGTCTACTCCTAACCCACAGGTTTTTAAACTTTTGTTTAAGAAGGAACATGTTTAAAACACATCTTACCAAGACAGTGAGTCAAAAGCCATTAATAAAAGTCTGCATTTATAGCAAGTTTACTAGGTGATTTTGTGGGTGAGAATCCTTGGAAGCACGTTGGGCCTCTCATACCACCCTCTTTAACCAACCTAACCCTCTGGTGTGGCTTGAGTCTCTTCAGTACCAATGTACTAGCTGTCCAGGATCCTTGGCTCCAGTGTCCCTGCCCATTCATCTGTACAGTCCTACACACATAGCTGAGGCAAGATGACTTCTGTGAAGATACAAAAGACCCCTTTGGAAAGCAGCTTGGCAATATTTGCCATGTGTCATATTCTCTGACACAAAGACTGAGTCCAAGGATCTCATCAATGGGTCCTCTAAATGTTGGAGCCTGGGATCTGGAACATTTGTGCTGCTCTCTCTAGATGATATCATCCAGTCCCATGACTTTGAATGCATCCATAGACCGATAACTTTCCATCATAGATCTCTAGCCCCGACCTTTTCCCTAAGCTCCAGAGTCTATATCCAGTGCCTGGCTGGAGAACACCACTTAGATGAGTAATAGACAACTCTTAATTTCCCCTCTCCCTTGCCTCTGAAATCTGCTTCCTTCTCATCTCCGTAAACAGCACCACCTTCTACCCAGTGCCTGAAACCATCCCTGCTTCCTCTTCCATCCCTTCCTGTACACAGGCAATTCATCAGCAAGTTCTATCAGTTCTGTGTCCTAAATAGATATTAATCAGTTTCTCCTTCTCTGAAACCAGAGGCCTGCAAAGCACTGCTCAGCTAGGCAGATCAAATCAGGCATGGAACCTCCTGTTTTTGTATTGCCTAAGAGCTAAGAATGTTTTTTACATTTTTAGAGGGTTGTTAAAAAAAGGAGGAGGAACAGAAAAATGTGTGTCAGAGAGCTTATGTGACCCACAAAACCTGAAATATTTACTCTGTGACCTTTATGGGAAATACTTGCTCTGTTCACCTAGACAGCAGCCTCCCTGCTGTTATCTCTGCTTCCATTCTTGTCTAGATAGAATCATATATACACTTAGAGTGAAAAGTAAATCAGCCAGGTGTGGTGGTGCACACCTTTAGTCTCATCACTCAGGAGGCAGAGGC